GCCCGCCTTCGCCGCCGCCGCGCAGCAGCCGGGATCCGCCCGCCCGCGCGCCCCGCCAGGGACAGCACGGCGGCTGCGACGCTACCGCAGCTGGGTCTCCTGAGCCAAACTTAAGAGTTTTCGCCCCTTAGTCCAGGGGCAGCACCATGACACCGCGGCAGCACCACACTGTCATTTCCGCCGCCGCAGAGGAAAAAAAAAAAAAAAGGCGATCCCTACGAAAAGGGGGGTGGGGGGCAAACAGGGCTGGGGCTGACGCCCCGAGGAAGCACTGGGAAGGGCCCCCGGCAGCAGGGGCGCCCGGCCACCTTCCCGGGCTCACCTTCCGCCGCCCCCGCCGCTCCCAGCTCCCCCAGCCCCTCCTGTGGAGGCGCGTTTACATGTTTTCTCCCCTGGCAGGAGTGACCGGAGAAACCTGAGCAAGCAGAGGCAGCGGGTGGGTGGGGTTCGGGTTACTACTGTACCTACCAGCTGATTCCAGCAGCCTTTTCTCCAGCGCCCTGTCATCTTGAAGGAAGACACACCGAGAGGGGCCCGAGCGGGCGCGCGTGTGTGTGTGTGTGTGTGTGTGTGTGTGTGTGTGCGTGTGCGTGTGTGTGCGCAAAAGAGAGAGAGAGAGAGCGCGCGAGAGCGAGCGAGCGAGCGCAGGATGTGTGTGAAATGCAGAAGGAAGACTATGGCCAAACTCTTCTCCCACCCGCCAACCCCCTGGTCCCACAAGCCACCAGGTTAGAACAAGGAAAAGGCCATTGCAACCGGCAATGAGAAGAGAGTGCCTAGGTCCACCGCGCTGGTCTTCAGATGAAGCTGCTCTAAATGCAAAGTTAACTACAGAGTAAAACAAAAATAGTGGAGGAGACAGAAAAGGGCAGACAATTGAAGGAAACCCAACCCCTCTTTCTTTTTACAAAGGGAGAATGCCTGTGCTTTATTGGCCTTGGGCAGAAGTTGTGGGGATGGATTAAAGCCACCAAAATTTAAAAACAAAACAAAGCAAAAGAAAGTAGGGTTTCATTTGCACATTCAAATCCTTGATGGGCGAAACAAGAGGGTCCTTAAAGAGGACAATGGGACAGATGCCAGCTATCCAGGTACAATGTCCCTAATAAGCTAATTGGTCCATCTGGAAGCCAGAAGCCTCATTGGTCTGGAGTCAGCCTCTCAGCTGACCTGTCATTGGCTCAGAGACCACCACCCCACTCACAAAGAGGATGGGAGAGGAAAGAAGGAGGATGCCCCAGAGAAGATTCCGCACCTGACGTGGGATAAAAGGGGGAGATGAAGGGGAAGGAAGAGAGAAGATGAAGGAAACACCCCCCTCCCACAGAAGCCTGCCATTACTGTGCATGGGAACGAGTCCAGAAAAATTAAGGTAGCTCTGGGAGTATCCCATCAGGGAACCAATAGTAATTAGCCAACACCCCTGTTAAACAATGCGCTAGAGAGCGCTGAGGTGGAAACAAGGCAAAAATCACAACCAGGCTATCCTGATGAAAATCTGACCCTAAGAGAAATAAAAGTTAATGAGTCACACCAAAAGCACAGGCAACGAAAGCAAAAATAGACAACTGGGACTACATCAGACTTAAAAACTTCTGCACGGCAAAAGAATTAACAGTGGGGGAGAAAATGTTGGCAAACCGTATGTCTGATAAGGGGTTAGTATCCAAAATATATAAAGAACTCCTACAACCCAATAACAAAACAAATAACCCAACTAAAAAATGGGCAAAGGACTTGAATAGACATTTCTTCAAAGGAGATAGACAAATGGCCAAGCATATGAAAAGATGCTTAATATGACTAATCATCAGGAAAATGCCAATCAGAACCACAATGAGGTATCGCCTCACACTGGTTAGGATGGCTGTTATTTAAAAAAAACAAGCCAACAAACAGAAAGTAAGAAGTGCTGGCGAGGATCTAGAGGAATTGGAACCCTTGTACACTGTTGCTGGGAGTGTGAAATGGTACAACTGCTCCAGAAAACAGTATGGAAGTTCCTCAAAGAATTAAAAATAGAACTACCATATGATCCAGCAATCCCACTTCTGGAAATAGAGACAAAAGAATTGAAAGCAAAATCTCAAAGAGAGATTTGCACCCTCACATTCACTGCAGCATTATTAACACTAGACCCGAGGTCGGAGCAACCTACCAGCCCAGGGGCAGATTAAAGGATAAAGAAAAGGCGGCATATACATGCAGTAGAATGTGGCATATTCATGTCAGCCTTGGAAAAGGAAGGAAAGCTTGGCATATGCTAGGACACGGATGAACCTCGAGTATCATACGCCAAGTGTTGAAACAAGCCGGTCACAGAAGGACAAATACTGCATGATTCCACTTACAGGAGGCATCTAAGACAGTCAAACTCATAGAAACAGAAAGTCGAATGGTGGGTGCGGTGGGGAGGTGTTGTTCTATGGATGTGGAGTTTCCGTCATGCAGGACTTGGGTGAGTGTGTGTGGCGGGCGGGGTGGTAGTTCTGGGGAATCTGTTGCACAACAATGTGCACGTGGCTGACAATGTGGAGAGGGTGAATTTTATGTCATGTGGTTTTTGCCACAATAAAATAATTTATTTTTTCAAAAGCTGAGTCAGAAGGAAACTGATCCTGGCATAACCGAGGAGTGGATAAATACGAATTATATATATGTCGTATCTCTCTCTCTCTCTCTCTCTCTCTCTCTCTCGAAGGTTGTTAAATGAAAACAGCAAGTGGTGTATGGTTTGCTACTATGAAAAGCTGATTACACTGGTTGCCCGGGGGGTCAAACATAGGAGGTAGTATTTAACATTGTATACGCCCTTTTGTACTGTTCACGTTTTTTTTTTTTTTTAAAGATTTTATTTATCCATTCATGAGAGATAGAGAGAGGCAGAGGCAGAGGGAGAAGCAGGCTCCCCGCGGAGCAGGGAGCCCGATGCGGGACTCGATCCCAGGACCCTGGGATCATGACCTGAGCCGAAGGCAGACGCTCAACCGACTGAGCCACCCAGGCGTCCCTGTACTGTTCACGTTTTTAATAATGTCCCTGTATTACCTTTTTAAAAACAATTTTAAAAGAACAAGGAGCATAGCATAGAGACAGAAAATAGAATAGAGGATACCAGGGACTGAAGGGAGGGGAGAATAAGGAGTTAAGTATTTAGTGGTTACAGAGTTTCGGTTTGGAACGATGACAAAGTGCTAGAACCAGATAGTGTTGGGACTTACACAACCTTGTGAATATACTAATTGCCACTCAAAAATGGTTAGAATGGCAAATTTTATGTGACGTCTATTTTACCACAATAATTTTTTTTTTTAAATTTAAAGAATAAGGACATATACAGAACAAGTAGAGGTTGTGGTGTTTGTGTAAGAAAATAAATATACAGTTGACCTTGAACTGCGTGGGTCCATTTATGCACAGATTTTTTTTTACAGTGCAGTACTGTAACCTATTTTCCTTATGATTTTCTTAATCACATTTTCTTTTCTCTAGCTTACCCTAAGAATACAGCTGTATTGTCGGGCTGCCTAGGTGGCTCAGTGGTGGGTTGGACTCTTGATTTCTGCTCAGCTCATGATCTCAGGGTTATGAGATCGAGCCCCATGACTGGGCTCTGTGCTCAGTGGGGAGTCTGTTTGAGATTCTTTCCCTCTCCCTCTGCTCCTCCCACCCCCACTACTGCTCTCTCTCTCTCTCTCAAATAAATATTCTTAAAAAAAATCCAGCTATATTGTACACCTGAAACTAATATAACACTGTATGTTAACGGTACTGGAATTAAAAGAAAAACTTAATAAAAATGTAGAACAAAAAAATATGGTATATAATGCATATAACATACAAAATATTTGTTAATCGACTGCTTATGTTATCGGTAAGGCTTCTGGTAGACAGTAGGCCATTAGTTACATTTTGGGGGAGTCAAAAGTTATACACGTATTTTCAAGTGCACAGGGATCTGGGCCCCTAACCTCTGCGTTGTTCAAGCGTTAACCTACATAAATGCAGGTAAATGCATAGAAAAGAACCTGGGAGCACATCTAGATAGCGGGAGCCTGAAATTATGGTGGGTATTGAGAGGATTTTTCGGGTTTGAGTCTATATATTTTATAACTGTTTGACTATCCTGCAATGAGAATTTCTCTTGTAGTTAAACATTTTTTTTTAATTTTTTTTTTTAAGATTTTGTTTATTTCTTTGACAGAGAGAGACACAGCGAGAGAGAGAACACAAGCAGGGGGAGTGAGAGAGGGAGAAGCAGGCTTCCCACAGAGCAGGGAGCCCGATGCGGGGCTCGATCCCAGGACCCTGGGACCATGACCTGAGCCGAAGGCAGACGCTTAACGACTGAGCCACCCAGGCGCCCCTAAACATTTTTTTTTTTAAGTTATGTCTCAAAAAAAAAAAAAAACCAAAAAAACCCAAGTTGAGTCAGAAGTCAATCGATCCCTTAGAATTCTTTAACCTAACTGGATATGATCTCTGCAAAGAGCTGGAGAATTTTCTAAAACGTGAAGAAGTGACCGCTTTGGTCATGGACACCTGAATCAAGCTCGTTAGCTCTTGGCAGCACTGTCCCTTAGAGAGCATTTACTTATAATGGCCTTTGCCATCCTTCAGAAACCACTCTCTCCTTCACTTTTTAGCAGCCTTCCCTCCACCTGAGTTTTTTTTTTTTTTAAGATTTTATTTATTTATCTGTTTGTTTGTTTGTCAGAGAGAGAGAGGCAGGCAGAGGGAGAAGCAGGCTCCCCGATGTGGGACTCCATCCCAGGACCCTGGGTTATGAGACCTGAGCCAAAGGCAGACGCTTAACTGACTGAGCCACCCAGGTGTCCCTCCCAGCTCCACCTGAGTTTCCGGTGCTTTCAAGCTCATCCCTGGCCAGAGTCCCATGCAGAGTGCTGGAACCCCGTGTTCCCTCCCCAGGCACCAGCGCATATTAGGGACCCTTCCTTTCCCTCGTCAAAACTTAAAACCGCTTCTGGGTCCGTTTCACAAAAGACCTTACTGATTAAGGATTTCAATCAACTAATTTGAGCAAAATGGTAATAGCTCCATTTGTCTCTCTCTTAGTAGATAATGTTTTAATTTTAACAGAGGCCTTCAATGTATTAACTCAAAGGAATGACTAATAGTGTGTGGGGGTGGGGGTGGGGGAGATTTTGCTAATCCCATCACATAAGCAGCTGCTTTGAAAAAATCCCCATGTTCGGTGGTTTTATGCAAATTATCGCTGTAAATGTATGAAAGTAAATGTTTCGTATCTGGCAGGAGATGCAAAATGGGCTGGGAGGATGTGATGAAATTACGTGTTTATAATTATTTAATGGTTACCTTTGTACAGAACATGTGTTGATCCTATTATCAAAATAAATCAGA